AAAGTGTTCTCATATCAAAACTTTATTTTTCTCTCAAATTCTGATTGTAGCAAATTCCTATAACATAAATCCGTCATACAAAATATAAGGGAATTTGCCGAAAGCCTAGAGGTTATTTTCATTGTATATACCTCTTTGTAGAGTGGTTGCAGGCACTGAATTGCGTGGAACTGTGGAAGAGCATCAAAAACTGCTGACACACAGCTAGAACAAGGCTGCAAACATCGTTTCATTATGCTGATTATTATCAGTTAAATGTTTTCAAATAAAAAGCTGCAGTAAAAAAATCGGATGTACATCAAAAATCGTGAGTTTCTCAAAAAAAATTTTTTTTCATCGTTCAAATTCAAGTGAAAATCGTTCAAGTTTCAAAACGCTCAAGTCCAGGCGAAAAAATTTGAAGAAAAAATTGTTCAAATGAAAAAAGTGTAATATCCAAAAAGATTAAAAAAAAAACTTTATTAAGAAAATTAATTTCTTGAAACGATCGGAGCTCTTTAAGCAAAGCAAACAAAAAACAGCATGCCATACGTAAAATTTAAAATTCTTAATTTATTTTGCAGCAATGATATCACGACTCATCAGTCTACAGCTACAGAAGCCCAAAAAAGACGCATACAGTATTGCAAGTACATGAATGAAAGGAGATGAAACGAATGAATCTATCTTCTGGACTGCTACCTGATATTCAGCAGCTGTCCACTAACATTTCCCCAAGAACAACTCAATTTAATTTGAAATTGACCACGCAAGGAAACTATTAGAGGGATGCCTAGGCACTCAATTGCTGTCGATTTAAGAAAGTTTAAAAAAAGCCATCAGTAAACTCAGAAACCATATTTCTGTATTATTTTTCATATCAAGGAAAATTTGGCGGTACAGAAAAAAGTCATCAATACCATAAAAGTTGCTCTCACATTTCCTGCTTGGGTGTTCCATTTTAGCAGTGTACTAGGATGTCCCCACACACTAGCCACAGCTGTGCAAGAACTTTTGATTCCGAGTTGTATACCTCCAGTTAGTACCTGTTTGATGTATGTACGCCAGTCCTTCGCGCAAACATTTTTAAAAAATTCAAGCTCCACAGATATGTTGGTCCCACTACAAAACAGAGTAACTTATTTGTTGAGCAACTTTTTGCTCACTTTTCAAATTTTGTTTAAAAGCGAACTGACTCGATGGAAGAAGTGGCATTTGGTAGCGCGGAAATGCAAAAGAATGACTCGAATAAGACCCTCCATGTTCAGATGAGTAGCAAGCGAAGTGAGCTCCCAGGCGTCCACATCTTCTCCAATGGATGTCAGACCGCCGTAGAGAAATGATAAGGCATAATGCACTGCCGTCCGAGAAAACCTAAATGAATGGTTATTTCTAACACGTTTGAGCGCACATTGCAAGCTACTGGAGCAGCTAAAGACCTTTTATTGCAGAATGCCTTGATTCTGAAGAATTCAAGGCCCAAAAAAGGGCGCATTAAACATTATCCTGCACAAGTAATTTTATTTAACGACATGTGGCTGATAACCACACCAGCCAAATCATTCGCGACGTGCATCAGGCAAGCCCGTGGATCATGCGTTTTTGCAGTATTTCGTAATGAAGTGAGATCGCTCGAAAACCCAGTAGCTGGAATTTGTAACATAGTGCCTTTTGAAGTCCGGGAAGTTAATTATGCAACTACCTGGTGCTTGTACAGGGGAAATTCCATTAAAATTTCAGTTTCCAACCTTTCTGATTCACGTGAAGCATTTGCACACATGCAAAAACGCATAATAAAAAGGAAAATGTAGGAGCTGTTCTTATTTAAACAACTGAAAAGAGGTTTAATTGGTAGAAAAGTTTTTCAAAAAAAAAAAAGAAATGAAAATGCTTGATCCGAGGATTAACGCATGATCCAGATATTATCCAGATTAGCTATCTAAGTGCAATCAAAAAATGGAGAAACGAACGGGTGCAATTAGTCTATTATGAAGTTTGTGAAAAAATGCATGAAAAAATAAACTTGCCCTGTTAATTCAATGTATTCATGCTTTCGGCTTGTCAAACGGTCCTTGAAATACGGGCATGTGGCTGACAGAATGCATCTAAATGATATAAGTGAGTCTCAGCAAGCATCTGTGAACGCGTATCAACTCGATTTCATGAAATAGGGCTTGAACCAAAACGTAAGCGCTAGACGCTTAATTAGTAGGCAAATTAACGTACCGATGCGCAAAAAGCTCCCCGTTATCAGTTTTAACAACAACATCTGTATCAATATTATTGAGGTACATGTTCAGCAAGTCAGCAGCTAGCTTGCATGACGGATTTTTATCGGCGATCGGCAACGATCCTGAAAATAAATTTGTGGCAATGTTTACTGACTTGGGCTGTGAATGCAGTTATTCTAACAGCAATGAGAGGCATTCCTACATGCACTGCTTCGCACTAAACTGCCACCACACTTGTGTTTGTTTTTTAACCCATTCACGCAACATCTGTTAATATGTCGATTGACGCTCATTAAGTGAAGTCGTGCTTTCACGATTCTTTTCACTGAAGAAATTCAGGTGCGGGCGAATAATAATATTAAAGTTGGAGGGCTACAAATGGGCTGGGCACATACTCACGAAATCTCACCTTTCTAGCTTTCCTGGCTCTTGAGTTGAAAGGGGGGTGACAAAGATGGCCACATGGACAATCTCTTGTCTGTATACTTTTGCATTTGCATAATATGCAAAAATGCAAAAAACGGAAGCAGAGTAGGCTAGCCACTGGATGATAATGCGTTCGCCAGTAGAAGAATAAATATGAATAGGATGACAATCACCTGTCACTAGTTATATGTTAGAACTTCAATTATCTATTATCAAATTTAAAAATTCGGTTTTCAAACTGTAAAAAGTGAGTATCCACAAAAAGCAG